TAATCAAGACACAGACTATATCCAATTATATTAACCATGGGCTTTACAAATCACGTCTGGGCTGTAGGGGAGCCCATAACACTCCCAGTCTCGTCCCTGTCCTAGAAAAGTCGGGAGAAGAGTCTCTTGGATCAGTCTAGCCTATGATCCAAATTCCTACTCAGGAACATGAGGAATCTCTCCCCTGGATCAGCACTCTTACCATATTCGTTGCCCTCTGACCTGACGCTTTGCCTCTTTCTCTGAACCCTGCTACTAGAAGAACACAGTGAGTCACACTTTGTGTTCTTCTTATGCAAGTCCATGGGACAGGAACATACTCAATGCGTTTGCCAAGTCACACTGGGAGGTACAAAGCCTGTGCAACAAATTAATCTCCTTCAGGGCGTCAGATTGCGGCTGTGGTGAACTACTCAAGCAAGCAGGCAAATTGCCTCTTTCTCTGAACCCTGCTACTAGAAGAACACAGTGAGTCACACTTTGTGTTCTTCTTATGCAAGTCCATGGGACAGGAACATACTCAATGCGTTTGCCAAGTCACACTGGGAGGTACAAAGCCTGTGCAACAAATTAATCTCCTTCAGGGCGTCAGATTGCGGCTGTGGTGAACTACTCAAGCAAGCAGGCAAAAGTCAGCTCCCCCCATTGCCGACATGTGGCCCCCGTCTGCCAAAGCACATGCTCCTCCAGAGCAAGCCAGCAGGATGTGGCCAGATTCCTGAGAACTGCTCCTCACATGCAGCATGGGAGGGGGATTGCTTTTTTAGACACACAAGAGTCTGAATGTCTTATGCTGCTGTATTGACCCCTAGTGGGAAGACAGTGTCCTTGCGGGTTCCTAGTAGGAGCAGTTTCCAGGGTACCCATGTACTCAGAAGAATGAGGCTTACCTGCGTGTGCAAGAACCAATTCAGACAGAGTCTGCATCGGTCAGAACCATCCTCAGGTGCCATGTGGAAGCATTTTCTTAGGTCTGGCTCTGCTGGAGAGTGTGAAGTGCCATCTGGCACCCCAGCTTGTATAGCAACTGGCCCCGTTTCCCTCTGGAATCCCCCTGCTCCTGCATCACCGACCCGCTGGCCTTCATTCCCAGCGAGGCTTGCCCCTCCCAGCATCCCCTCCCTTCAAACACAGGGCCCCCGGGCGTAGGGTGCCAGGGCTGCAATGCAGGAAACGTCCCTTGAGAGAGAGCAAAGCCAGCGGGAGTCCATGGGGAACCAGCTCATCTAAGTCTAGGAGTGCGTCCCTCGCAGAATCCCTCCTCCCTGAATCACAGCTCCCCCCTCTGGGGCTGTTGCACTGACACACAGATTGCCACCCTGCTCGGAGCCAGCGATGGGCAACCTAGGCTAGTAAGCAGGCCGCACGAATGGCCCTCCCTCATCTCAGTGGAATGCAAGATTGTTGTTAACCAAGACGGTCTCCTGGGGTCGGGTATTTTGCTAACTGTGCTTGCGTACCTAAAATTTGTGGATTGCACCCTAGCAGCATTTTGATTGGCTACAGAGGGAGCGCCTGGCTCTCTCAGTGTTGTGGGCAGTCAGCCCGCACCTCACCTCACGTGCCCTTGCTTTGTGTGTGTGTCACTTTAACACCTGTAGAAAAAAAAACAACATGGACGGAAACCAGGGGAAACTGGCAACCATGCACGTGGGCAACAGCAAACAAAATGTCTTGTGGGCCACACATAGAACCCCAACAGGCCCATCGGCGTCGGGTGACATCCCAGCTGGGGAAGGCAAGACTCAGCCCTGCCCCTGGAGCAAACTCCCGCCCATACCTAGCCCAGTCCCCATCCCTGCATCCCCCGCCCCACCTCGGTGGCCGGGCTGCTGAGGGGAGTTGCCTTCTTCACAGGCCAGGGAGAGTCGGGCTGCCACGCTGCCGGTCCAGCCTGCCCCAGCTTTAGGCAATCGGACATGTAGCTGCCCTTGTCTGCATTACCGACCGCCCCTGGACAGCCTGCAGGTTGCCCACTGCTGCTCTGAGCCGTGCTCCACGGTAGGAAACTATTTCTGTGAGAGGAACTGGGGCCCTTGGGGTGGGCTGTGCCCCTGGAGGCTGGCACACAGCAGTGGCCTAATCTCAGAGGAGCTTCCTGTGCTCAGGGCTTGAGACAGGCCAGGTAGAAACCCCAGCCTGGATCCCGAGGAAGAAGTTCTAGAAGGGGGAGAGGGGTGGAATGGAGGCCCAGAAGCAGCAGGGGACAGGCCTCGACTGGCCTTAAAACGCCTTGACTGGCCTTTTAGCACAGACCAGCAAACTCTGAGCCAGCCCAGGGCTGCAGCAGGGCCCGGGATAGCCAGAAGGAACAGCACCCCACAGAGGGGAGAGAGGCACCCCAGAGAGGCAGCCAGTCAGCAGGAGAGCTCTTGTGCAGATGGGTGAGGTAGGAACCAGATTGTGTCTCTGGAGAGGCCTAGAGGTCACTGTTGCCTTCTTGGCCATGCTGCTCACTTTCCCTTGCGTGCCCCCACGGGTGAGTTCTCCCCAGTTTGTAATTTGACGTCCCTCCAAACCACAGGATGGAGGTTTCATCATCTCCTCCGTCAGTGGCTGGGGCAATCTGAGGAGACAAAGGGCTCCCAGCTGCAAGCCACTTCTCTGTGTCCAGGGCAGAGGATGAACAGGCTGCACCCCTGAGAACTTGGAGCGTTTGACTAGAATCTTCTGTGGATTCTGTGCATGTAGAGAAACGGGATGTGGATTTGCTGAAGCTTCCTGATGAGGGTGGGACACGGCAGGAAGCCATTAGCCGCTGCATGAAGTGCATGAAGTTGTGGGTCCCAACCTGCCTTGAGAGCGCCAGCTCCCATCCCCTTCTCTGTTCCCATGCACTAAGCACTCCTAGAATCATAGAGAACGAGAACTGGAAGGGACCTCGAGAGTCATTGAGTCCAGTCCCCTGCCCTCAAGGCAGGACCAAGCACCTGCTAGATCATCCCTGACAGATGTCTATCTAACCTGCTCTTAAATATCTCCAGAGATGGGGATTCCACAACCTCCCTAGGCAACTTATTCCAATATTTGACCACCCTGACAGCTAGGAAGTGTTTCCTAATGTCCAAGCTAAACCTCCCTTGCTGCAGTTTAAGCCCATTGCTTCTTGTTCTATCCTCAGAGGCCAAGGAGAACAATTTTTCCTCCATTCTCCTTGTGATACTCTTAACAGGAAGTTCTGTTATCTCGGTTTTACAGTGGAGGAAACTGAGGCAGAGAGAGGAAGTGCCATGTGCACAATCACATACAGCCAGGACTTGAACCCAGACCACCTCAGTGCTAGCTCGGCCTCCTAATCACAAGTCCTTTCTTTAGTCTGCAATCTGGGACTGCCCACAGATCCAGTCTGCAGGCAACTGAATGAGCGGCACTAGGCTGTAGCAGACATCTGGACTAGCTTGGTGGGAAGAGGCAGCAGCCCAGAACTTAAAAGCATTCACCCATAATTGAAATAATGTACGTTCCTTCCTAGCCAAGTTCCCACTGTGTGCCTAGCCGTGCACCATGTGCAGCTGCTGTGCTCCCGCCATGTTCCTCGCCGTGTTTCCAGCTGCCTTCCTAGCTGTGTCCTTAGTCTTGTTCCCAGCCGTGCTCCTAACCACACTCCTGCCAAGCTCTTAGCTGTGCTCCCACTCTGTTCCTAGCCCTGTCCCTAGCCATGTTCTCAGCCATGTTCCTAGCTACGAGGCTAGCTGTGATCTCAGCCATGTTCCTAGCCGTGTGCCTAGACATGTTCTCAGCCATGTTCCTATCTGTGTGCCTAGACATGTTCTTAGCATGTTTCCTCCACATTCCAAGCTGTGCTCCCACTGTGTTCCTAATCATGGTCCTACCTGTGTGTCTAGCCGAGTGGTGATCACTATTTATGGTTAACTGTTCACCCACCATTTAACTGGTTAGCTGATTAAACAGGATTTTACAACCTCCTTTCAATCTTTCTTCAGGTAGTTAAGGACTGCTACCAAATCCCCTCTCACTCTTCTCTTCTATAGGTTAAACAAGTCCATATCCCTCACCCTCTATGGGTATGTCTACGCTACAACACTATTTTGAAATAACTAGTGTTATTCCAAAATAACTTAGTCGGCATCTACACATCAGGCAGTTATTTTGAAATACACCACTCTAAGCACCACGGAAAAAAACAACCTACAGCTCAGCACAGATAAGGCAGGGAGGGGCTCAGCAGTTTGCTGAGTTGGGCCCCAGCTAACCACAAGCTCCTGGGACTTTCCTTTGCAAAGAACCATTTCCTGCCCTGTGTGTGCTCAGGTGGGGCTCGGCGAGCCAGCACTCGACAGCACTAGGACGCTGCCGTGATGGCTTAGCAGCAACCAACTCAGCCCATGGGGCCATAACAATAATTGGCCCATTTAGCGAGGAGGCGGCAATTTGGTGGCAAATAGCCCGTTGCAGACCCCAGGCCAAAAGGCTGGTCACAGGATAACATGCAGCAAAGATCGCCTGTCCCCCAGCCAGTCCCATCCAATAAGAAGAGCACACTCCCATGTCCCCATGGGGTCAGCTCTTGGGAGCCCACATGGATGGGTCACATTCCACGGAGAGAAACTGAAAAGCCCCGTAACTCGGACAGTCAAGACAGGAAGTGGGGCAGAGCATCCACCCAGCATTTCCCTGCAGGATGGGGAACAGCCCAGGCCCTACCTGATACCTACAGTTCCCACCCACGACTGCCTGGTGCTCAGCATTGGGGCACCCACAGGCAGCACCAGAAGGCGAGGGAGCAAGCTCTACAGAATGGGGCCAGAAACAACGCTGCCTGTGGCTATGTCTGAGCAGCCTGCCCTGCCTCTCCCCTCTGGGTGGTGCCATGTGTGCCCCTGGACATGACCTCTGAAAGGGGTCTGGGATGTCACACCCTGACTTCCCCAGACAGCTGCATGGGAAATGGGTCCTAGAGTTGAGTGCCCCGTGGGCCATGCCAGAAGCCATTCACAGAAGAGACATAACCACAGACAGGTACAGAGAATTGTGTGTTATTCACTGGAAGTTGGAACAATACATTGAGATTCCATCACCTGTTTAAGTGCAAAATAGTAACATGCCCCTTGTACATTAGCATAAATTAAAGCAGCGTCCCAACACCGTCGGCCATCTCCACCACTGGGGTAAGATGTTTGAGCTGTTTGAGTTACACCAGCTAAGGATGCAGCCCCTGTAATACTGTGTGGGCAGGTGAGGGTCAAGACGAGAAAACAGCAGTTTCAAAATCCCCACACCGGGTGGACAGACTGATCAGGGACACCATGAACCCCTTTGGCTTTGTCTTGCCAGATGCCAAGTGCCTCCGGGGAGGAGATTTCTCAGCAGGTCTTAGGGCTGGGTCCAGCCGTGGCTAAATACAATATGTCCCATATTCATCTAACACAGACGGAGGCAATTTAAGCCTAGTAAGATGTCACCTAAGGCACTTTGGGAGAGCTTCCCTGGGGAGTGTTGGGATGGATAAGGTCACTCTAGAGCCTGGGCGGGCAGGGGCTGGAAAGCCCAGGAAATGAAAATCGGGACCCTGGGCAGGCGACGAGGTGTCTAATGGTCTGGCAGCCAGCTGCTCAGAGTCACATTGTCTCCTTCGGTCTCTGAGATGTTGTCCGTGAGCAGCTTCATCCTCTTTATCTTGCTGGGCTTCTCCCCATTGGCCACTGGCTCGCTGTCGGGCAGCAGAGCCGAGATGCACACCATCTCAGTGTTGTTGCACTGGTGCTTCTTGTAGGCATGCTTCTGGCGCCACAGGAGGGTGGCAAGGACGGCGGTGCAGACGATGAAGACAGCAGCCCCGAGGAGGGGGCCAGCAGGCACTTCCCCACCAGGATATTGGTGTGATGGTGTATCCTCTGCACGGGGACTATCCCTGTGACAGAGCCACCGGCCGAAATTGGTCTTCCCCAATGTGGAGTGGCCATGCCTCGAAGTGGCCAACCCGCCCACAGGGGCTGCTGTGGAAACACCAGACGACTCTGCCAGAGGTTCAGGTGGTGAAGTAGGTGAGCTGACCCTCAGCCCCCTGTGGATCAGAGGCTCCACAGTGGAACGATGCTCCCTACTCTCTCTACTGCCAGTAAGCATTTCTTCTCTCCCAGTGAATGTTGCTTCCGAGGAGACGTTGCTGGAGCCCTGAGTGGGGGTCGCTTTGGCTGAGGTATCAAGAGGGCTGAGCTTTCTAACGCTGGGGGCGTCTGTGGAGATATTGTCAGAGCTGGCAGCAGACAAAGACTCTGCTGTAGCGGTAACATCGTCATAGAGGTTTTCTTGGGAGGTGTTTTCCTCTAGCCATTCAGGACGTGGTGAGACTTCGTTTTCCTCCACGGGGTGCTGAGAAGGAGTCATGGAGAACACTTCGGGGCGGCCGGCGGTGGTGTTCTCTGCAGCAGAACGATTGGATGATTTCACTTCAGCTTCCCTCTTTGCGCGGACAAACACGGGGAAGTCAGCGCTCCCAGCCTCTGCTGTGTCCCACACCCACTGGCCCTGGCTGGCTGGCTGAGAGCCCCCATCTTCAGGAAGCCCTCTTGCTGCTCCCACTGCGTCATCTTGGTCACCAAGACTGACATAAGCAGAGACTTGGAGCAGGCTTGAAAGCAACAGCAGCAAAGTGACCTGGAGTGGAGCCATTTGACCTAGGAAGAAAAAGCAAAGAGATCTAATTAAAGGGGGGGAGGGAGAAAGAAAGTGAGGCCAAGGAAGCAACTGCAGGCAGCTGGGAGAAGTGGATAAAATGTCCCAAGAGAGATGAGCTAAAGTCGCAAAATTAAGTCCCATCATTGTTGAGGATCTAGTTCTGCATTTTCCATTTTCGGGCTCGCTGACACTCACTGGGTATTTCCAATGGCAACACTGCCTGGAAGCCTCAGTGCATTGGAATGCAGCGGCTGCCCCTTCTCCCCACTTTACGCCTGTGCAGCCTAATAAGCCTCTTTCTTATTAGCAGCATGTGCATGTTGTTACTCGTAGAAGCACTACGAGGCCCCACAACTATGAACAAAGCTCCCGTCTGTCCTCCATATGAGTTGGGGTCCAGGCAAATAAAGACGCCCATCTCCTACTCGTGGAGCGCACAGTCGGGGTGTGAGAGAGAGAAGCTGCAGACCTGAGTCTCAGCCCTTAGTTCCAGCAGGCTGATGCTGATGGGGTATTTGGTGGCACAGAGGATGCTCCAGGGAGCTGAGAAAGCTCCAGCATTTTAGTCACCAAATCTGTTGGGAGGGGGGGCAGAGAAGTCACATGCCCACAGGTGAGATAAGGACAAACACCGTATTTCACCTATCGATAGCAGGATCAAGGCCTCTCCTTAAGCTAGAGCCACCAACCATTTGGAAGCTCAGAGGAATGTCTGTCTGTCTGTCGGCCACCCCAGCATGCCACCTGGAAACTGCAGCAAGGGCTGTCAGTCTGCAGATCCATGCAGAAGGCAGCCTGTTGTGAGGGTTAATCATGTACTAATCTCGGTAGGGCCCCTCCCACCCAGAACTACACTGTGGTTCTCTCCAACTTACTCCATCAGGCCCTCCCTTCTGTGTGTCGGTGCAGATGGAACCTCCCATGACTGTACTGAGCTGGATCTCTGCTGATCATGAGTGTGGCCAAGTTTCCTGCAGTCCCCTAAGTTTGTTGACAGCCACCAGTCTTGGCTCCCAGTGGTCTGTGCTGTTCTCTAGCTCTAATTTATCCCTTGATGTCTTCTAAGAGCCCAGTAAGCAGTGGAAGTGTTGGTAATGTTGCTAGGCAATACTGACCTCCCATGGTTTGGCAAATTCTCTGGTTCAGCACCGATCAGGTCCCCAGGGTGCTGGACCAAAGAGGTTCAACTCAATGGTCCCCAATGCGGTGCCTGCGGGCGTTGTGGTGCCTGCCGGGGCATTTATGTGCGCCCGCAGAATGATCTGGGCTGGCCCTGCCCCAGGCACACGGCACATGAACGGTGCCAGCCCCGGGCACGTGACGTGAGAGTGGCCCCGCCCCCAGACGTGTGGCAGCCCCAAAAGGTTGGGGGCCACTGATGTAGATGGTATCATGAGCTTTCATGGGCACAACCAACTTCATCAGTTGACTGGCTCAAATCTGTGGCCCATAGTGAAATTGTCAGGTGTTGGCTAAACTTCTTTCTGCTGCTTGTGAAAGTTTAGAACAGCAGGAAGCTGTTAACTGAGGAGGAGCACCA